GGCTCGCGGCCGCCCTTGCACCCAGCCAGCTGGCTCCAAGGCGGCGGCGAGGACGGCTGGTTCCCCCCCAAGCAAGGCTGGCGGCGAGGCCGGCTGCCTTCCCCCCCAAGCGAGGGCCAACGGCTTGCAGCCGGCCGGGCCTCGCGCCCTCCCTTCCTCTCACGTGTCCAGCCGGCTGGCTTTGAGGCGGCAGCGACAGCGAGGTTGGCTGCAGAGCATTCCCTGCGCATGCGCAGGGAACGCTCTGTCAGTTTTGGGGGGATTTAAGTATCCCCCCATTTTTTTTTAACTTTTCAGATTTTTGTGCACACCTGGGGACCACCCCACGTGTGCACAAAACTCCCCCTCCGCCCCAAGTGCCCCTGGTACGCAGATTTAGCTATCCGCACACCAGGGGGCGACTTCAGTATTAGTATATAGATATTCATTGAAATACGAAGAATTGTTAGTGGTCACAACCCGATAGAGTATGTAAACATAGGTCCAACAATTTGTTCATAACAATTTGTTCATAGTTTAAACAAGAAACATATTCAAGACCAACAGTAGGCTCTTCTGTAATTCCATACATAAGTAGTGTCCGTAGACCTCCAAACAGAAAGTAACTGTAAACACTGCGGAAAGAACAACAGCCAAATGCCTCTCCCAGGTATAAATCAAGGTGTTTCACCAACAGCGGCTGGTAAGACGGAGCCCAGTTTCCAAAATAACATAGGCACAGCTCAAAAGCTTCAATGGAGAGAAAAGTGAGCGTTGCGTATATTTCAATTCCCTTCCCCGCCCCAATTTTCATTCATTCTTGGACAGAAAAACTGGGGGGGTGTCTTTTTTTTCCATGTGGCTTCATAATTTCTGGAACTTTTAGGACCTGGTAAAAGCCAGCACAAGGGATCAAAGTTCTTCCATCTGTTTCCCTCCTTCACAGGCAGTGGAACAGCATCGGCGTCACATCCTGGATCGTGTCCTTTTTAGCATAGAATGGGAAGAAGCCGCTATGCACCCTCCTCAGGTATGGGAAGGTTTGTCTCGGAGAGATTCAGGGGGTAGTTTTTTGGAGGCGGGGGTCCTTCTTGGCTGCAGGGCTGGAATGAAGTTCGCTCTGCCCCGTCGCTTTCGATCCTAAGGCCGTGAAACCCTTCAGTCTTCTGGCACGAAGAGACGGTCGGGGTGCGCCTCCATTGACCACTCAGTTACTGTCAATTGGCCACCTGTGATCCAGTGGTGGTCACATCCAGCCTAATATTCCAGGGAGCCGAATTTGTGTTTTTGTTTGATATGAATCTAGATCAAGACGGATAGTTGTGTTAGTCTGAGAGTCAGAGTCCAGTAGCATATTAAAGACTAACAGTATTTGTAGTAGGGGAGGAGCTTTTGTGAGTCACTGCTCACTTCAGATATTGCGGTGTCTGAAGAAGTGAGCAGTGACTGACGAAAGCTCATCTCCTTGCCACAAATCTTTTTTTTTTTTTTGCTCCCCAATGGGGATTTTTTATTGCATTTTTATTAAAACTACAAACTATAACAGAAATAAGGGAGGGGACTACATCTAGGGGATAAAGAAAAGATACCCACTACTGACTAAAAACCCAAGAGAGGAGATCTTCTAATCAGCTTGAATAAACATCTAGTCTTAGTCATATTAATCTCATTAAAAACTGAGTCACATATTCTGTTAACTTTTCCCAGATCTTAAATTTAACTGATATAAGGAAATACCCCCAAGCATCTCAATTCAAAGTTTTTCAAAGGCACAATTCAGAGTCCTTCAGCCTTCACTTCTTCTTGCTCAGTCTCTTCCGCAACTTATAAGGACTTTTGAGAGCCGCTGCCCCCTTCTCTGCCAGAGAGTCCTCTCCGGAAGAACCCGAGTCCAGCTTGCCACTGGACTTACTGTCTCCTTCCTTTTCTTCCTCCTCTGGCCCTCCCAATTGGACTCTTAGATATTCTTTCACTTTCAGAACAGAGTCAATCTTTTCTTTTTTATCCTTGATTTTGAAGGTGACGCCTTCAGGAATTAGCCATCTGTATCCAATTTAATTTGTTTGAAGAAAAAGAACAAGATCTTTATATTTCTTTCTCCGTTGTCTTATTTCAAATGGAATATCCTTCAGTACTCTGATAACACTCTCCCCAGCTCTCAGGGGTGCTGCAGATACTCCTTGCCACAAATCTTGTTAGTCTTTAACGTGCACCTGGACGCTGACTCTTTCCTAGTGTGTGAATCTGTCATTCTGTTGCTGGTCATTTTAATCTACACAAAAAAAACTAAAACAAAGAAAAACCAGGCCTTTTTTTCGGTTGGATGAGTAAAAAAGGGGGCACAGGGGAAGGGAGCTCCTGCCTGCACTGGAATCAGCTGCAAACCCCGATGCGTTCCTCGTGTGCGGCCGGGGGTGTCCGCTGGTGTCCGAGGCCCCCCAGCAGAGGGGAGGAAAACCTTTAAAATACCAGTTGTGAAGGTGCAGAGGGGAACGCCAGCAAAGATCATGGAAACTCCTCCAATGCCCACCCGTCGTAACACAAGGTGAATCCCCTCTGACAGAGGGGGCGGAGCATGCTGGTGTGGCCACACCCCCTGGTCTCAGCCTTCCACAGACACAAGGCCAGGAAGAAGAAATGGCACACAGGCGTCCATCGCTGTGAGGATCATGGCGTGAGCGACAGGACTCCTGGAGTCAACAAAACAGTGAGTGCCACAGGTGTGGCTCCTGCAGAGGGCAGGGGGTTGGACTAGATGACCTGCCAGGTCCCTTCCAACTCTAACATGCCATGATTCTGTGTGGGTTTGAGGGCCCACCCGCAGCAGTGTTTTGCAAAGCGAAGGCACAGGGAAAGAACACGTCCTGCCCCGTAACTCCAGAGCTCACTTGGTAGCTCTCCCTCCTACACTGGGAGTTTTGTTAGGAGGAATGGCATCCTTTTGCCAGGAGAGAGAGGGAGAGACCCACCCCCCTGGGCAACAGAACAAGGAGAAACCCAAGGGCACCGTCCCAGGAGGGGTGGGTTCAGGTCTTGCTAAGGGGGGTGCCAGGAAGAATACGAAGCTCGCCTTTTGGTGTTTAGGAGGCCCAGAAAGGAGGCCCAGGTGGGATCAAATGGGATGACTGTATTGGGTGTTGTAAATAAGAAGCGGAAGAGAGTTTATATAGTTATAAAGGTGAATATATACAGATATATATACAGGCTATTGAACAGCATGTCATGCCTTAGTCTATGAAAACTAAGTCCCCCATCCAGTTTACTAAGCTGATAGCTATTATGCTAAACCCCAGCCAATCTCTAACAGGGTGATGCAATCACTAACTTTAACAAGCCCTGAAAGAGTAACACCTGCTAGAAAACACCTGGCTGTAATTACATGATCACTAGCATGACAGCTAGGTCTTTTTAAAAAAAACAGTTTATTTTTTCTTTTTTTAAAAAAAAACACCATCATATATTTCTTCCATTCTCAAACATTCCATGTCATATTGTAGCCTTCCTTTCTTATCTTAAACATTTTTCTATCTTAAACTATCGTTCTTTAATCCAGTTTTACTTCCCTCTCATCTTCAGTCGTTCTTGTACACAATCATTTACTTTCTAATACATCATCTGTCATTTTTTGCTAGCCTATTTCAATTCTATTCTATCTTTTTCATCTTTAGCCAGTCATAAATTATTTTCCATCTATCCCAGAAGCAGTCTTGAGATTTATTTTGTAATTCCACATTCAGTTTATCCATTTCTGCTATTTCTAGGATTTTGTATTTAAGTTCCTTTAACAATGTATTTAAGTTCCTTTAACCTTTTGTATTTAAGTTCCTTTAACCTTTCGTTTTCCAGCGCTTTGCTATTAATATTCTAGCTGCTGTTAAGATATAACAAGTTATCCGGTTGTGGTCTTTTATTGTGTCTGGCAACATGTTCAATAGGTATATTTCTGGTGTTAACGGGAGATTGATTTTTAATATTTCTAATAGGATTTTATAATTTTGTTCCCAGAATATCTGAATTTTATTACATCTCCACCAAGTGTGGAGATAGGAAACTATATTTTTCCCACATCTCCAACATATGTTAGATGCTCTGGGGAAACACTTAGCAATTTTCTCAGGAGTCCAATGCCACCTGTAGTACATTTTATATATATTTTCTTTATATGGTGTTGCTCTTATGTATTTTATTGTTTTCCATGTTTTCTTCCAATGTTTTAATTCTATTGCGTGGCCGAGCTCCTTTTCCCAGGCTGACATGGGTGACCTTTTGCCCTCTTCTGTCGATGAGTCTTCTAGTAGTTTTTTATATAGCTTCTGAATCAACTTATCGCTCGATGAAAGCCAAATTTTATCTAACTCTGATTGTCTATTACAAAATCCTATTTTTTGTCTTCCGTGTATCTAGATTTTAGTATAGTCTTTTCCCACCAGGACAGCTCGATTTTTTGTCTTGACAACATCTCGTCCGATTTTAATTCCAAATCTTTTGTTAGTATAGTGTCACTTTATTTTTCCCTGATATTAACGAGGGTTTTGTAAAGGCCTCTATGGGAGAGATCCACAGTGGTAATTTCTTGTAGCTACTACTTTTTATTGTATTCCAAACTTTTATCAAGGCACTTCTGGTCACATGGGCGTGGAAATTAGAATGTATCTTATCTTTGCCATACCATAGGTATGCGTGCCAACCCATTACTAGATCGAATCCCTCTAACGTTAATAGTCTTTTGTCTTCTAGTGTGGCCCAGTCCTTAATCCATTCCATTGACGCCGCCCGATAATATAACTCCCAATTAGGGAGGGCAACCCCCCCTTCCTGTTTAAATCCCTGAAGATCTTTCACTTTTATTCGTGGCCTTTTAGACTGCCATATAAATTGCCCTATAATTTTGTTCAGTTCATTAAAATCTTGGCATTTTTTAATTATTGGTAAGTTTTGGGCTAAATACAAAAATCTTGGCAAGATATTCATTTTAATTGTAGCTATTCTACCGAGTAGTGATAATTGTATCTTCTCCCATCGGTTCAAACCTCCTTTTATTTCTTTTAATAGGCACAGGTAGTTATTTTCATACAAGGTAGAGGTACTGTTTGTTATCCAGATTCCTAAATATTTCACTTTATGTACAATTTCCATTTTAGAGATCTCTTTTATCTCATGTATTAGTTTTTGTGGGCAGTTTTTAACTAAAATTTTAGTTTTTTGAAAGTTAATTTTAAAGCCTGCTACTCTACCAAAATCTTGGATGTTATCTATCAAATACTTTAGGGAGTTTTCAGGGTCTTCTGTTATGAAAATTAAATCATCTGCAAACGCCTGCAATTTGTATACTTCACCTTTTACTTTTATTCCTTTTATAAACTCATTGTTCCTAATCCTATCGGCCAAAGCTTCTAAAGTAAATATGAATAGTAGTGGTGACAACGGACAGCCCTGTCTGGTAACTTTTTGTATTTGGATATTATTTGTAAGTTCGCCATTGACCACTATTTTTGCATTTTGGTTGGCATATATCGATTTTAACATTATAAAGAATTTCTCCCCACACTCCCATGTTTGAAATCTTCGTAACATAAAGGCCCAATTGATGTTATCAAATGCCTTTTCAGCATCTAATAGCATTAGTGACATCGGGTCTCCGGGATGAAGTTCATAGTACTCTAAGACATTAATTATATTTCTAACATTATTTTGGATTTTCCTTCTTGGTAAGAAGCCCGATTGATCCGTATGAATTATTTGGGTTAATACTCTTTTTAATCTGTTTGCCAAAATTTTTGCAAAAGTTTTATAATCAGTGTTAAGTAGAAATATTGGTCTATAGTTTTTGATCTCCCCTGCATTTGAGTTCTGTTTGTGTATCAAAGTTATAATTGTGTCATTCCATGATGCTGGTATTTTACCTGTTTTTGGTATCTCTTATACTAAGTCTTTAAATGGTTCAACTATTTGTTCCTCAAATATTTGATAGAATTCTATGGGGATACCATCTGGACCAGGAGATTTTCTAGTTCTTCCACTTTTTAGTGT